TATTAAAAGTAACAAAATTAGTAAATTAAAATTAACTTATTGAGTGAAGTTTGGGTTTTTATTAATGAAAAGCACGAAAGAAGCCTTGGTTTAGGTAGCCTACTTTTCCAGACCCTATGAAACTACTTTAGGCAACATTAAGTTCACGAAACATGTATTTAACGGCTCAACTTTAATAAAATATTTTGTTAATAAAAATCTATATCGGGGAAAAAAATCTGCCACTTGCTGTGAAAAAGGTCTATTTTCCAAGGAGAAACAGAAGAAAGGAGGGATTTGGTCGGTTATTGGATAAGGTAACGACCCATGTGACGTGAGCCAAGATGCATCGAACCGTAGCTGAAGCCGACGGCGTCTAATCTATTTATAACGCATAACCTAAACATGAACCTTGACGGACGACGGTCCACAAACAAAGTATTTTGGCCATCAGCAGTAACTAACCAAAGCAAATTGAATCGTGCAATGATTAATGAACCACACCATCAAACGCACAGTTTTATACCAAAATTATCGTTACACTATCAGTTTAATATGCATCAATTTAATAAAAAAAAACTTTTTGATACTAATTATTTTATACTTTACTCCCATCAAACTTCATGAAAAATACAGACGCTAGTAAGATTTATTTATTAATCAAATTTTAAATAAAAATAAACATTTTTTAGTTTAGAATTCCAATTGTAGAGATGACTTTGTGATTTCGTTGGAAGAGTCTTTCAGGATATGTCGAAATTTATATATATAGGGTTATTAAAAATATGAGATGTCATATTTATTTTCTTCGTGACTTTTATATTTATAGTGGTTTTCAGTTAGAGGATATAAACAAAATAAAACCACGTTAACTTTTTCTTCTTCTGTATATTTTATTTGATGTCAATATCGTTTTATTTTTTTTCCTTCTGAAGATGAAAGTCTTTAAAATTCCACCCGAGCATTTTCTTTGTCAAAAAGAAAATTTAATTTTAAAAATGTTGGCAACATGAGTTGAATATTTATGAAGATGAGTTGCAGCCTCTGGTAGTGGGGAGTTCCTATCTGGTATGAGGTCATGCATATGCAACCTTTCCACAAGTTCATGGAATGGCAGCCCTATTGACTCTGACCCTTGCGGTAGTTTTTGCTCTCTTCGTAAATTGCCCAACTTGTTCGCTTTCTGCTGGACTACAATTGGTGGGGTTTTATTATCATTTTGAGCCCACATTCTTCAAATTCATCTTGTTTGATTCAGCTTTTGGACCTAAACATGTGAAATTTTTTTATCCACAAATCATGGGAGATTCTCTTATAAGATCTTCTTCCTCCTTTTTAATTATTAGATATCACGTTAGCTTTAATTATTTGAGTTTGATTTTTAAAAAAACTAATTTAATTTAATAATTATTAAATTGAATTTGAGCTCGAACAACTTGAATTATCAATCAACTCATATTCGAACACCATATATATATATATATATATGTGTGTGTGTGTGAGTCAAGGGTTTGGTGAATATGGAATTGCTGAGCTGCTGAACTTGGAAGAGAAAAATTAGGTAAGGAATTAGATTTAGGGTGGATTGATAGTAAGGTCGTTTGGTAAGTAGCATTAATCTAACAAGTCTAGTACCTACCATTCAACTTTACGGTTACTCTTTTTACTCAAAATTCAATGCTTCTGATTCCTCTCTTTATCAAACCTTCTGTTTTAGGATCATCCAAATATCAACGTTTTTTTTTACCCATACTGCTATTTTATCTCATTGCTCAAATCATTGTCCAATTGGGCATACCGTTATATGTCCCTGTTAAATTACTAACTTGAAAAATCAACCGATAAATATTTTTTACACAATAAAATAGCAAAAACCAATTATTTCAACAATTTATATGTACTAAATTAGTAGTAATTTAAATTCACATGATTGCTGACAAATAAAATATAAGAAACAAGTAATTATCGATTAAAGTAGAGGACTTAATTATCAAATTTTATAAAGAATAAGAATGAAATTCATAATTAAACTTAAATTTAGTGGATACGTGCACAGATAGTATAACCAGTTGACCCTAACACATTTCATATGTAATCTTTACATCAGCAATTACATGTACAAGAAATCATAAAGAATACCAAATTTAGTTACAAATTGTTAGGTAGAAATACCTATCCACCCACCCGCGTTGCCCTTCCCATTCAATTGAAAGACCGGTTTAGTTGGATGATCAAATTGTCAGAACAAGAACAGGTTCAATTCAAGGGATGACTGTTGATTGAAAGAAATCCCATCAAGACTGCAATCACTCTAACTTTTGAGTCCCTGTTGACTGATTGATGAACAAATGAAGTTGTTAAATCGTCAAATTTTAAGAATATCACTCTTTGATCACTCCAATCATTTTGCATGTGGAAAAGGGGTATAATCGATCTTTGATTTGGCCTAGAATCTGATTGATTGAATTAAGGAGAACTAGAATACAGATTTGACACGAGCAAATCTAGTTTGATATGACATTCGCACAAGGAAAAGTGTGTTTGGAATCCAAAGTGGGAAATGAGAGATTTCTTCACATCTTCAAAGGATTGAGAAATTAGTGCAAGTTGAAGGATTTGGTTTTTTTTTTTTACTCTCGATGAGGTTCCTGCTGCTCGGATTGTATTAAACCATATTCCTCTCATTGCTGCATGAATTTCGCCGCTGTTTCATGTAGGAGAATCGAATGACTATGATGATGCGTGTCGACAATACGCGGAATTAATGCCTGCTACTTGCGTGCTTTCGAGCTCAAAAAGTATGAGAAAGTACTCAAAGCATGAATAACATGCGTTTACTTCTTTGGGTTTCAGACCGAGATGGTCTAACGGTCGTTTCTTGAAAATTTTAAATTATTATATATTTTTAAATATTTTAACTTTTTTTATTAATAATCTATGTGTACCTCTAGAATTTTATAATTCACGTTCCGTTATAAAATTTAAGAAATTCACCCTCTAACATAAAATCATACATATGCCCCTGGTTTTAGATTAATCTTCTTGGTTAAGTAGCTCATCCATTTTGTACAATAAGGAGAAATGGACTATAATTATTTGATAATTCTTTTTTGAAAGCTAGAAGAATTCATTGTCAACATACTAGAAAATAAAAGAGTAATTTATGGTCTGCTTTCCGTAGTCTGTTGTTTCATTCTGTCTTTGTGCTGCGTTAATGGGCCTTGGTTATCAAATTGCCCGAAGAGCACTCAAATGTTCAACCAATGTGGGCTTTCCCATAAGTCAATACGTCTCCTGTGGCAAGGTTGCCTATGCCTCTCACCACCCAACCACCACACTCTCAACTATAAACCCATGAAAACATAAAGGATTGACAATCTGATTGCCATTTTGATCCGATTTCAATTGGTTTGGCACTTTAGCAGAGTGTGGAAGGGACCCCATATTATGAATGGACACTGACCCTGCTCCATCAACCAAGTTCAGTTCTATCATGAAAGTAGACCACCTTATTTTATGTATCAAGTCTCAAAGTTCAAAGCTGTCTTTATGTCGCCATTGTTTCCATGAAAACATAAAGGGTTCTCAGTTATCTCCAGTGCTAATGATACACTGAATCATCAAAGCTTGACAATCTGAAAAGAGGGATTTGAGAAACCTGTATAAGGAAAAAGAGATCCATCTTTGCTGATGATAGAAGACCAAGGATGGGACCACTTTCTGAGCATTGTAATTATTTGCACTGTCAGTTTTCTTGAGTAGAAAGATACAATCAAAGTAGTATTTTAATTTTATACAACAGTATCATTTCTACGAGTTCTGTTACTATATTTTTTTTGGTTTCTTATTTCACTGTAATTTTGGGTCCCTGGGTGGCCTCGGGAGCAGGATAGAGAGGAGGTTATCTGATATGTAAATTATTTAAATATTGTTTTCGAGTTACTGGAAATATCTTGAATATTAAACCCCCATGTGCACTTCAAATGTACTAGTCATGGTCTGTGATAATGTAGATATGGTACGTGTAGTCTTCGAATATATTTAATTTGTTGAATACCTGTATTTAAAAACGAAATAGACGAATGACAGTAAAAATCTCAGATCCTTTTCAATTCAATGAAATCGTCTTATACACACACATTAGTGAAGACTGAAACAACACAGCAGCCTCTCGAATGGAAGGTGTCAGTTAAGCAACAAAAGGAAAATTTTCAGCACCCGAAGCCACCATTTGCATAGTTGCAGTTACAATGGAGGGCATCACCTTCACCCTTCCAACCACCTTGGAAAGTGTGCCAAAGGCAATGATGAGAGAGACCAAAACTGTGCCCGCTGCCTTCCACTATTACTACCCTTTAAAAGTTAAAAATACCACTTCTGTGATGGATCATCCCAAAGTTACCGGAATCTTTATCAAGCACCGGAGACCACTAGAGGGTTGATTGTCCTGACAAACGTCATGGACAATGGCGTGTGTGGGTTTCATGGTAAAAGGAAGAATAATTTTTTAAAGGCAAAGCAAGCCTAGAGTGTAATCAATGGCACAGACCATAAAAAACAAAGTGGTTCATGCACCTTCTTTGAGCAATATCCTTAAATCCAAGCCATCTAATTTGCGGGATAGAATTAGCCCCACATGATGGGCGATAACTATCAGAGTCCAGAGATCACACATATACAATCATAAATGAGTTTTTGGGACAGGGGAACTTTCCTATAACCTTTGCATAAATTTATACATATATATTGGTTACAAGTTGCTATATAAAGGCCTTTCCACTTCTCTGCTAGATATTAGTTGTACTTTCTAAATACACCTTTTCATCTCTCCTCTTTATCTTCAGCTCTGCACATCTTTGATTAAAAAAAACAAAAACCCTAATTCTATCAAAGCTATATCTTCTGTCAGCTCAGCTCCTCACCCATCTCTCTGCCATTTCAGTCTTTCAGCTTGTTTCTCTCGAACAGTGCTTTTTTGAAAGGGCAAAGAGTAGCAGATACCTAGTTTGCGTGAAGATTCAATGGATGTTGACATGATCAAGTCCTCAGCAGAAGATCACATGGATATGATGACAATGATGATGCAAATGGAAAAGCTTCCTGAATTCTGTGAGTCGCCTCCTTTCAAGACCTATGAAATAAACTTCTCCAACGGGAATTCAAGCTCCACGATCTTACCTACACCAACCATTTACCCTAACGCCATTAATGATCCTTCTTCACTCAACACATTCATGGCCTTGCCACCTTCCACTTTATCACTCATCGGCAATGTCCCAGCTCAAGAATCCATGGCTCCACCTGTTCAACCCAACAATATGGAAGCAATGAGGGAGATGATCTTCCGTATAGCGGCAATGCAGCCTATTCATATAGACCCAGAATCCATTAAGCCTCCGAAGAGAAGGAACGTGAAGATCTCTAAGGATCCACAGAGTGTGGCCGCCAGGCACAGAAGAGAACGGATAAGTGAGCGGATACGGATTCTGCAAAGACTCGTTCCGGGAGGCACTAAGATGGACACTGCTTCGATGTTGGACGAAGCTATTCATTATGTCAAGTTCTTAAAGAAACAGGTACAATCTCTGGAACAAGCTGCTGTGAATAGGCCAATGGGCATGGGGTTCCCGAGTGCAGCAATGGCTAATGTGGGTTACTCTTACTCCTCTTTGGCGAAAGCTTGCCAGCCATCTCATCATCATCATCAAGTTGTGAGCAACATGCAGATGCTTAGAAAAGGAACGGGGTATTTAGAATTTAATTAGTTGATTTGTGCAATGGGTAATATCTTCTTAATGTTTTTGGATTACTTGTAAAGTGTAGGCTTCACTTGTTCTTGGTGCTACAAAGAATTCCATCATATGCTTTCACTATCTATGATTAAACTTCGTAATATTATTCTCTACATAAATCTCTACTATTGTTACACCAATCCAACTATCAAAGCTTTTATCAACAAAAACATGACAGTAACTTCAAGAATTTCCTCATGCATTTGAGTTAATTGATTATATATTATTAGAGTTGTGTGAAATGAATTTCGTTTGATCACACTTAAAAAGCTAGCAGCGCAACTCATTTTCTATGGATTTTGTAGCGCATTGGATTTATATAGGACTATGATTATTATGTTAGAGGTTGATTAAGAAAATGAAACATAAAGCGAATAGATTTTTTATTATGCAAAATTCTTTTATAATAAAATAATTATCTTTATAAATAGATATTAGGGAGTAGAGTTAGAAGTGAATTAATTCAAGTCAATTAAGCTGCACAAATTCGTAGATCTTCTTGTATTCTCATCGTCAACGTTATTGAAATTTCTTATTCTCTATTTATATATTTTTTTCGTTTATAATTTTTCATATAAATATTGTGTCTCTTTTATTTTGTGATAATTTATACTCGTTATTGATTCATAACATATATTAACTAATGTTTGGTGCTTCGGGAGGATAATTAATTTGAAATATCTCCCTTCATGCATGAAACCTCCTTTAAATTTTTTAGGGTTACCGTACATAGCTCACAGCTTGCATTATATCATCAAATTGTGAAGAGTCGGCATGGTCCATACCAGTTTTCAATTTATTGGATTTGAATGCTTCAGTTGCCATTGGATTGATTTAAGTTAAATTTGTTTTCACCATAAGAATATTTAGAGGTAGTAGCTAACACCTGGTTTTTTTTCATTTCGCGGTTCGTTTTCATTATAAACGATTATAAAATAGTGATAAAGGAAGACAAAAATATAAATTTATATAAAAATTATTAAAACAAAACCCATTGATAAAGGAGTAGAATTTCATTCTAATGACAAAAAATTACAAGAATATTATACTAGAATATATAAAATTCTAATACCCTGAATACACGTATATAATTGTACATACATAATAATCCTAACTTATGAGTCTTCATATTCACCACAAATCCTCATTTTCCTTTCTTTCAAATTTTCAACAAATAAATCATACTACAAATTTCTCGAATCGTGTCATACAAAATTCAAATAAATTATACTTTACCAACAATAGAAAGAAGTGACAGAAAACCTCTTCTCATATATTCTAATTAAGTTTGAACCTTAAGTTTAGTTTATTATTAAATAAATTTATTTATATGTTATCTTGAACTAGATAATATTATAGTTGGACCTTATAAAGGATAAAGATAGTTTGAAGCAACAGTGGATGTAAGAGTTGTTTAGGATGTGCACTAAAGTTCAATTATTCTTATGCTAGTTGTTTATTTTATTGATTTTGTCTTCTCTGAAATTTTATTTGTATCCTGTTAAGCATAGAAAAGTTAGTTGGCTATTCTTGTGTAGTTAGGAATTAGTTATAGGTTAGTTAGAAGCATTTACTTTATTATTAATACTATACATATGTATTTTGTATACATTGATTTGTGGCATAAATGAATTAGAAGTGTTCCAAATATCCAAGTATTTTAGTTTTAACATGGTGTCAGACTTAATTTTGGTCCTTTTACTTCTGATTCATTAGTTTTTGGGCTTTCCTTTTTGGGTTTTTTCATTCTCATAGCTTCTGCTCGTTGAACAACTTTTTCCCAATTTTTTTGATTTCATTTTTTTCTCTGTCAACAATGCCTTATGCCGAGGAGATGATTGATTTCACTCACCTATTATACATGCATCCGTCAGATATGCCTGAGCTAATGCTCGCACTACAGCAAAATTGGCTTTTTGCGGCATTTTTTTGACCTATAGCGGTGTTTTTAAGCGCCACAAAAAATAACTACGGTACTTTAACAAATGCCGCAAAAAGCGCTGTTGAAAATAGCACCGTTGAAAATAGCGCCGCTAAAGTTCGCGGCGTTTGTTAACAAAAAACGCCGTAATAGGTAAAGATATATAGCGGCGTTTATTTAAAAAACGCCGCAATAAGTACTGATATTTAGCGGCGTTTGTTAAAGTTCTGATATTTAGCGGCGTTTCTCTTAAAAATGCCGCAATAGGTGTTGAGATTTAGCAGCGTTTTTATCACAAACGCCGCAATAAGTTTTCATATTTAGTTGCGTTTTTTATGAAAACGCCGCTACTATTCTAGTATTTAGCAACGTTTTTATGATAAAAAGTCGCTATAGGTCCGGTATATAGTGGCGTTTTTAGGATACAAATGCCGCTAAAGGTTGGTATATAGCGGCTTTTTTTATATAAACGCCGCAATAGATGTTAATATTTCGCAGCGTTTTTTTAATACAAACACCGCTAAATGTATGATATATTACGGCTTTTTTTACAAACGCCACTAAATAACACATAATTTAAACAATTAAAAATTTATTGTCGATTACCCCAAATCTGTTTTTCCAACCTGTTCCATTATCCAACAAACATGACATAAATAACATCAAACTCTATATCAATAACAAGCAACATCAAATCCAATATAATAAATAAAAGTTTTCATTAATGTAATATAAGTTCAGTTAAACACAGTTCAGTAACATTAACAGAATGCTAATAACATAAACGAGACTATGATGGTGGATTTTGAGGTTGAGTTTTCTGTATCATATGCATCATATCATTGAGTCGTTTTTCAAATTCTTCACATCTTTGCTGATATGTTGCTTCTCTCTGTGCTGTCGCTACTTCTCTTTGTGCTGCTACTGCTTCTCTTGCTTCATTTTCCGCTTTCATGTTAGCCATTTGTTGATCCATATCAGCTAACTTTTGTTTTAAACGACTAAGTTCTAATTGGGAAGATTGAGACAGTGATGACGTGTACTGTGATGAACTGGATCCAAAATATTTGGTTAGTAACAAATGATCCTTGACAGCGCACCCGGCCATATCTTTCAGGACCCAAAACGTCATTAATAGCTCAGTTTTCAATGTCATCATCATTAACAAGACCTTGAATCGAACTAGTAGCGTGATACTCCGCCCTTTTCTCCCTCAATTTTTCCTAATAATAAGGTGAATAAATAATTAAAATAAAAAATGTCATGGTACAAATATAAATAATTAACATTTACCCAATAAACATACAATAATTTCTGCAGCTTCAGCAGTCATAGGAGTGTCATCATTCTTCGTATGTGTCATGTCGAATAGTTACATTCAGCCAACTTTAGAATCGGATGTATTTTCCTACAATGCACCATAATATAATTACTATGACTTAGTATGTACATGGAATACAAAAACAGTGTCAATAATCTATAATACCTCCTCATTAGCTATACAAGCAAAGCTCTTCGATCCAGCTGTGTGCGTAAACTTTTGTTGTTGCCTGCTAGCAACACCAACATGCTCTCGGTCCTACAATGTCAAACAAACACTTTTAATGATGATTTATAATTCGTTATAATTATTAATGAAAAATACATCATACATGTCCTTTTTGTGAACTCCAAAATCTTACTGCATTTTCCCATTGGTACCTGAGCATCCAGGTGGGACTGTTTGCAGCTTTTCTTCTAGGATGAGATCATTCTTGAAGTATTTCTTCTTTAAGGAGCTCTTGTGGTCCCTCCATCTCTTCCCTAATGCTTGCTTCACATAATCGTCAGAGACCTCTAAGGAAAATTTCTCCTATACAACAAATAAGTGTCCACCGTAAGAATACATTAGTATTGAATTTCTATAGAGTATATACTAATGATGACATTATTACCTTAACAAAATCCAACGCCTGATTTGTTACTATTAGGCATTTCGCGCCATGACTCATAATTGATCGGTAACAGATTCGTATTACGTCTAACTATGCCTAAGTAACCTGCTAGAAGACGTGCTTCTGACCAATAGGTTGACCGACATCGTTTCTTGAAACTTTGACACGATGCCCAGTAGGAAGTTGATATAATTCCTTCAAAGTTGTATGTCCTCGAGTCTTGCACGTTCAAACATTTTCAACTATATAAGAAATTATTAAATGTCAGTTTTGAAAATGAACAAAGTAGTAAATAAAGTTTCGAAGATTACCTTGAATTTCTACTTCTTCTTCAACAGTTTCAGGAACTCCGGAAGACTCAGGTGCATTCGATTCCTCGTTATTTCTTTCTTAATGGTCTTTAGAAGCTCGAACAACCCGCAAATCAATAATTTTTTCCTCAGCATGATATCTGTAATAAAAAAACATACATAATTAAAAAAAGTCATTAATTAATGAATATATTGAAAGACAAGATGTTAAAGGTTATAACATTATATATAAATAAATGAAGATATAAAATCGTACGGAATTCTTATGTAATGTCAGTTGTCATAAATATCTTCATCAACGTCCTCTTGAACCCATTGAAATTGTGTTGTATTTATGATAGTTTCATCTAAGTTTTGTGGTAGTAGAGGTAAACATTATGATCTTGTTTCAATTTCATTCTACTTCCATCCCCGATGTCTAACAAGTCTCTGGGAGTATTTCGGAGCACAATATACCAACCGTCATCCATTGGATCGTGACAATAAAATACTTGTTTTACTTGCGAAGAAAATACATATGGTTCATCCATCAAACGTTGACCCGTGTGAATTAATCGAGAGAAATTCACCATTGTAAACCCGAATTTATCTCTTTTTATGCATCTGTTTACATCAACCCAGTCACACCGAAACAACACAACCTTTTGTTTTCCATAATAATCTAACTCAATAATGTCCGTAAGATTTTCATAATAATCGACCTCTTCCTCCTGCGGATTATTGCCCCTGACAGTAGCATAACTTGTAGTTGACGAAGTAACTACGACTCCACAATTTTGTGTCCTCCTTAATCTTTCACGAGATTTC